ATCCTCTGCTTGAGTGATTTGGCAGGTGTAGAAACCCCAGAAAATTATAACAATACATATTTTGCTTACTGTGTTTGGATAGTTTAGCAGGGCGAAGAGAAGAACTGGCCAGGAATCAGTCTGCAAAGGGGAAGACTAAGTAGTCAATTTGCATTACAAAACTAGGAACAGTGGGTTTGCTTTTTTGTCACACAATCTGTTAATGCACCTTGCATAGTCCAACAAGGCAAGTTCTGTCTTTCTGTGAAAATTTTGGGTTTTAAATGATCAAATTATACTAGGATGGAGATTATTAGATTAATTTTAAATGTTGTTTTAATTAGCTGAGTCTGTGAGTTGTTTTGCTTCTTTCAGTTGTCAGATGTACATTCTTTGTAGAAAGTTAAAGGGGTTCTTTTAAAAATCCTGGGCCAACAAGAGTAAAGCAGATGTTCCTTTTCCACCCTCCTAGCATCATGGTACTGGGATCTCTCCCTCTAAAAGTGCTATCCTGAAGTAATCTCCAGTAGCTTCCAGTAGCTACAGCAATCCCAGCTTCTAATACTTCAACTTGAGCTTCAGTCAAAGGCTCAGTCGTTGCCCTGATACAGCTGATGACAGCCTGTGTTCCGAAAATGTATTGGTGAGATTTCCTGGGAGTTTTGTTTAACCAGGAACAAAATGGAAACCTTCAGTGTTGCTACTAAATGTCACGATGGGACCATCTTATTTTATCAATGTTTTTCTGCAACAGTATTGACTATTCAGTTTGTACAGTGAAAATCTGAGATTGGGAATAATTCTTTCTTTTGCCCCTCAATATATACATTATGTCATTGAATACATTATTGCTGGGATTCGATTATCCTCGGTTATTATAAAAGTCAAAGTGACTGTAGTTCTGGAAAGCTTTTTTGACAATGAGGATGGGCTAGGAGGTAGGAATGGACAGTAGGTAGGCTCCCTGCAGACGTAAGTCAGCACAGCTTCATTGACTTAATGAAATTTTTATGATTTATAGTCTTTTCTCAGCTGCTGCATACAATCAGATGTGGTGAGATGGAGGGATCTACCCTTTTCCTACTGGGCTAGTATATTCAAATTAACATAAAGCTTGAACATCCTTAGTGCTGATTAGTTCAATTTGCATACAGTAAACCAAATTAAATAGAAATAAAATATATTTTGTGCAAAAATAACATCACTGATAGTAAATTATAGTTCTCTTATGAAGTAGTGGGCCTCCTGAGCTGGACCTTCAGTGCACCAGGTCTGTGGTTGCTCCATTTTAGCTCTGTTGATCTTAGTGCTGCCAAAGTTCAAGTTATTCCTCTTGGACTGAATCTTTTAGCTGCTTGCCTGTTCCAGTAGTCATCTCTTCATGAAAACCTCAGCTTCAGAGCAGAATGCCCCACCTTTTGATTACCACATGTCTTGTAGGAATTTGTACATTTCAGACTGAAAATTGAAGACTCTCTGAAATCTTGGGCATTTAAAGGGATTGCAATCTCAAATGACAATTTCATGGATAATAATTTAAAAACTGATGAAAACCTTTTTTTTTTTTTACCAGAACTAACTTATGAAACTCATCACAGGTTACCACAGAGGCTAAGGGGTCAGCACTTTTCAGACAAGGGTGTTTTCAGGTATTTGGATTTTTAAAAATAAGTAGGAATCACCCCAAGCTTGGGTTTCATGGAGAACCCAGACACTTGTGTTTCAGGACCCAACCTTCAGCTGTCAATACACTTAGAAAACTGTGTGAGTTATCCCAATGCTGTTTACTAGAGTTTTCCCTTCAAAGCATACAGCATCAGCGCACCACTGGAGACTGCTCTGCATTTGTATGACCTTTAATCAGCTACAACTTCAGTGTAGTGCAGGATTCATTATGTTCAATATGTTTTGTAAAGAAATATTGTACTTATGTTGTGTAACTGACTCACACTTTGAATGTATTGGGTGATTTTAGGTATTTTGTTATCAGATTATGAATAATTCTACAAATACAATTCTACAAGTGGTAATGCATGTAAAAACAGTTGAAATAATGAACAGTATGAAAGGAGAGGAGATGAGACAAGGGAAGAAGAGTAGAACAAGGGGCCAAAGAACCACTTCAAAATAAGTACTTGGGATTTTTTTTCATTACTATTATTATCATCTAGCTTTTGTATTCAAGGATTAACAAACCACAATAACTTGTTCATTACCTTTTTCCAACATTCCTGCAGACGTACTAAATCTGTAAATACCTGAAAAATTTCAATTTAGGCAGCTAAAATGCAGCTTTTTAATTTCTCCATTGGATCCTTCAGAAGGCATACCCTGTGGCTCAACTTTTTTTCTGAAGGTCAAGAGAGTTTTATTCATCTGACATAAGTAGCTTGAGTGTGGCATTTATAACTTGAATAATGTTATGGATGATAACACCATTAGACATTTTTACAGCTTCAGCATAAAGGTTGTATTGCTACAATAACCCCGAAACTTAAAGCTGCTCCTTGAAACACGTAGACTGGCTAAAGAGATGAAGAATGCCCTCTGACATTTCTAGGTTGCTAAAGAGCTCTCTCAGGTTCCAGTGCAAGAATTAAGATGCCCACATGTAGCTGTTCTGATCTGAATTGGAAATTACTGTAGGACTTTGTAATTTTAAATGAACTGGGGGCAGTGCTACTCGAAAGAATTAGCTTTAGGTTGAGATGTGACTGAACTCTGGGTGATGAGTCCCAACATTTTGTTCCTACCCAATTATAAAGTGTTTCTACAGGATTATAGGAGGCAGAACTCTTACACTGCTATTTTCAGAAACAACAGAGAGTTTCACCTCCTCTGTCTGAGTATTTTGCAGATATTAAACTCATAGGAGACTGGTAAAAAATAATCTATAGAGTAGGCTGAAAGTGGTGTGAGAAGCTAGCAATGACAACTGGTAGAATTTTGGCTTTGTAGAAGAATTTTGTTTTGTAGAGATCTGAAAGAGAGTAGCTATGTTCTGAAAGTAGATAGTGAAAGTGGCCATGCACTGATCACACATGTAAAACCAGTTGAAATAATGAACAGTGTGAAAGGAGATGGGATAATACAAGTGGATAAAGAGTAGAATGAAAGCCACAAGGGAAGGCAGTGTGACATGAACAAAGGTTGAGTTCTTACTTTTATGCCTGAGAATAGTAATCTGAGGCTTGTAGCAAACTTTAGCCACTGTTTTAACCCAGCGGCTATTTAACACAAAAAATATTTGTAACACGTAATGGTTACAGTTAAGGCAGCCAGGTACTGTTTTTTCATTGCTTCTGATAATTCGAAACAACTCCATTAATTTTCTTAAGATTTTAATGACTTCACTGGAGTTCCTCTGTTAAACTGCTATTCTAGTTTACAACCTTCTGTGTTCCCGATCATCACCTGGATCACAGTAAAAATTCTAGTACTTCTGATTTTTGACTGAGACCTTTGAAGCCACAATTCCTTTCTGAAACTTTTAAAAGTGCAACCATGACAATTGCTTCCTAGGTGAGTACTATTGTATAAGTCTGATATAATATACTGTTTGAATGCTGCAAGGCACGACATCTCAGAAGGAAGATAGAAGGGAAGATCTTTGGCAGCAGATGTCAACAAGGGTGACCAGAGGCTTTGAACAACTATGCAGGGAGATCTAAGTAGGCTACGGTTCTTAAGTTTGGGAAAGAGATTACTAAGGGGTTAGATAATAGAGGTCTATAAAACTGTGACCAGTGTTGAGAATGTAAGTAGGGAACAATTATTCTGTATTTCTTTTAGTGTTAAGAGGTAAAGGTTACCAAGTGAAATTATCGATTATCAAAGAAGAGACAGTATTTTTTGCTGGAAGCTACATGAGTGTGCAGCAGAGGCACCTGTTTAGTGCATCCTGTTCTCTTACTCTTCCCCGAACACTTGACCACTGTTAGAGATAAGATACAAGGTTAGATAAATTTTTGATCTGAGCATATAACTGTTAGAATCTCAAATTTACACACACCAATAATAGGTGGTAGACTGGAGGGCAAGGATAAGATTTGCCCTTCCTTTTAGTTTCTTTTTTAATGCTGGCTAGTTTTCAAGTTGATGAGTGCCTTTAAACTTGCTTTAAAACATATTTTCCTTGTATGGAATTACGTGATAGCAGCGGCAGCCTTGGCTAATGCATTTGTCATTTTGTGGATTTATTAATCCTCATTTCCTGATGTTTTTCTGAAATTCATCAAATATGCAGGATCTTAACTTGCTTAAAGCCTCAAGACAGAAAATGCGTATAAAAAAGAAATTGTAGGTTCCAGTCAGTCTGACTTCAGTCAGCACGCGTTGGCCCTGGAGTAGTTTAAGGGGAAGAAAAAAACTTGCATTATCCATTTTGTATTTGAAATTGTGGGTAGAAGCTCTTTTTCATCTCTTCCTGCGTGTGTAACATACTGCCTTCCTCTTGGGCTATAATGATCTACTTCCATTTGACTGATCATACTGCTTTTTGCCTTTGTTTTTGGAAGACATTCTCCCACCTTCTCTCAGCTCATCAACTGAATAATCTGTCTTCCTCTATTCAGCTTTCTGTTTCTCACAAGCTGTTTAAAATCTCTCCTAAGACCTCATTTTTGTCAGCTGTGCCTTTTGATATTGTTATGTCTGATGCATACCTCAGTTTCTGCCACCAATTGTAGAAGTTTCTGTATAATCCAAGAGTACTGCAGAATCTGTGGTAGCCCTTCTGCCAGCTCACTTTGGTGGTAGTAATGGCCTGGCTTATGTTAAAGTGAACAAAATGCACTGTAGTGTGAAACATTACTCACTCACAGATTTTAGGAACTTACCTCCAGACCCTGGTGCTTTGACTTCATCTTTGGTTGTGGTGTCCTATCATGGCACCATTTCACATCCCTGACTTCTTTGCTTTCAATTAATTTCCGGCGTAGCTAGTTAATTTCAAGATGCGTTTGAAGGAGGGTCCAGTGGCTGATGTTTGGTGGGACTGAGGGCTGTTCTGTTATTTTCAGGTACTGTTTGGCACTGCTGATGGACAGGTTATCGTCATGGACTGCCATGGCCGAATGCTGGCCCACGTGCTCCTTCATGAGTCAGATGGCATCCTCAGCATGTCCTGGAACTACCCCAGCTTCCTGGTGGAGGACAGCAGCGAGAGCGACACGGACTCCGACGACTATTCCCCACCGCAAGGTAGTCTTGTGTGCATGTCCTTCTGTTGCAGGTTTGCAAGTGCTCATGAAGATACCTCAAACACCAGGGAGTGGTCATGCTGTACTGAAACAGTAGGATGGCCATGTTTTTAAGCTGGTAGAGGCCAAAAGGTGTTGCATTCCTGTGGAGATAGCATGGGGGTCAGAGCAGAGGGCTGGCGTGGAGAAGTGGGCTCGTCCCCAGCTCTGCCACCAGCCTGACTGCATGACTTGCTGCAGGTCATACCTCATCTGTGCTGCTCTGCTTCCGATTGCACAAATGAGAGAACAACACAAAGCTCAAAGTTTTTAGTGAGGGTGAGTGAAAAATACTAGATAGGGGCATATCAGGTTTCACTGATAAGCAGATGTGAGATATTGCAATGGTCCGTATGTATGGAGGTAGTCAGAGGGCAGTCAGAAAAGTTAATGCATTATTATATAGATTTGTGTGAAGAGACACCAGTACTAGACATAGGGGAAAGTACTGTATCTTTAATTTTAAAGAAATAAAAAAATAAAAATATATTTATTTTTATATTTATATATAAAGCAGAGATAATGTTTGTCATTATAGTCCCATCCATGATAGTACTGACATAAAGAGCTCAATAAATTCCATAGAAGGATTGGAAATGAAAATAATTCTTCCAGTTACACAAGGTAGAAGAAGGGTGACTGGAGCTGTCTGGAGTTACTAATTCCCATGCTTCAGAGCATATTGCCAGTTTGAGGGTCAGGAAGAAATCCTTCCCTCCCCTTAAGTATAAATATAACTCACTGAGTGAAATGTTTTCATTTTACTCTTTGGAAATCATCAATAGCAAAGACCTAGGAGGCCTAGTTATCCATGCATAGTCTGGGATAGGATGAGGTCACTGCTCCTTTCACCCCCATCCTTCTTACTTACTTACAATGTTAATACTTCCTTTTGTTAATGCTGTCAGTTAGTCTATAAGATCTAGGCAAGCTGTTCCTGTGTTCCAGTGTATAAAGTCTGAACTAAATTGAGGACTAATATAACAGTGATTGCACAATGAAAAATTTAAATACATAATAGCTAGAAATAATTATAAATCTGCATCTCAGTTCTGAACCACTGAATTGAAGACTCTTGCAGTGTTAGCTCTAATTTGCACTCAGTCAAAAAATCTCCTTTTCCAGAATCATGTGTATATATGTCAATATAATAAGCATATGTATTTAAAAAATAATGATAGAAGATAATGTGATCATCCAGCAAAATGTTAGCATTTTTTAAATTGAGGTCTGTTTTGGCTTTCGTGCCTCACTTTTGGTACTGGGTGAGATTTCTTGCCTTAGAAGAAAAGAAACAAACTTTAGATTTCCTAGCGAGCTTCTAAAGCAAGACAAGGAACAACATTAAATTGGTTTTTCATTGGTTTTGTAAAATACTGAGGTTCCAGTTGGAGGATGGTGAAGAGGCAGAGTACACAGATAAGAACTTAAATGATCCAAATGTGCTAGCTTATTCTGAGTCAGTCGAGGGTGGGTGGACTCATTACAAGCCTACAAGCCTGTTTTAATGATTACCCAAACATGATGTGTTTTCTTTAGAACAGATGCAGCATAAACTTCTCAAAGGTGACAAACCTTTGACTCACACAGATGTGTAGGAAGGACTGGAAGTATGATGGGTTTTTCTTATCAAATAATTTATATGCGGAGATGCTAATTACTAGACATCTTTCTCCAAAGTGCTTTTTGATCAGCTTTTTTACAATTTCAGGAAGCAATACCACTCATAACTGGCTGTGCCTTTTTTATTGACTGAAAAGATGCTGGTTGGGCCTTGAGAGGCACTGTATCAGGGGCCAGCGGCATCTCCTGTCAGAACTTGTAAACAAAAAGAGTTAAACAGTGACTGCTACAGATGATAATATTGGTGATTAAACAATTGAACAAGGGTATTTCAGTGAATACTGAAAAACAAGCTCAGAGGAGCGGAGATGTGCAGAAATGTTTTTTAAAGCCAAGTGTGCCATTTAGGCTCATCTCTACTTTTGAGTGCATTGGATCCTGTTATGCAGGATGGCAGGTAACTTTTCATGCTGCTATGTAGCTCTTAACATTTAGAATACGGTAATTTGTGAAAGGTCAGTATGTTCTCTTAGAAGTTCTTATAATGTCTCTATGTGACTTCAGGAGGTGTCCGCAGCACTTGCCCAAGCAGAAAGCGTATCTAACAAATAGCTTTTAATGTGATGATATTTTTATTACCCTGGTTTTCAACTTGGGTCCCAAGGAAGCCTTCCAAAGCATTGGTTTTCAATTTGCGGACACTTCGGGGAGTTGACAGTGGAGAAAGATTGAAAACCACTGCTGTATAACATAATAGCATATGCATAAATCACTTTAGATACACCGCAGTAAAAATTCACAAGGTAAAACAGTGGGGATTCACAAAAGCAGACAAACTAAGTAGCTAAACCTGCTTTGCTTTTGCCCATAAACATTGCAGAAATAAGCAGGTAGAGTTTGAAGCGTGGAACCACTCCTGATGGCGGTAGGCTGAAGTACCGTGTGTTTCAGCCTGGATGTAGTTACTTCTGGTTGCTTGGCCTTTTGCTCACTCCAGAGTCTTGTCTTTTGCAGATGGACCAGCTGCGTATCCAGTCCCGGTGCAGAACACCAAGCCACTACTTACTGTCAGCTTCACATCAGGAGACATCAGTTTAATGAACAATTATGACGACTTGTCTCCTACTATCATCCGCTCAGGGTTGAAAGGTACAAAAGGAAGCCATTTCACCCCCTTCCTGTGCTCTGTTTTTCTTGTGTATTTAACGATGTCTGTGTAGGGTATGTTTTTGCTGTTGTCTCTCCTAACCCAGAAGCACTCAGCCACTGTTATTGCCATTTCCAGCAGTGACACCTACTGGTGGAAGAGCAGTGCTGGGCTGAGAGTTTCTGTGAATAAATGTTTCGGTTCTTGAGATCATGTTTTTATCGCAGTTTTGTAGAACAATTGGTCTGTTTGCTCTTTTTTAGCTGAATGTGCTAATATTTTTGCACTTCTTTGTGTGAATGCTTCTGCTACATAACACTTCCTTTGCATCTTTAGTTCACAAAAGCTCCTCCCATGCTTTTGGTAACCAGGTTTGAATTGCAATGCTGCTTTGACTCCTACAAATTTTGAAAACTTGCTAGAATCATTAATTATCAAGAGGCAGGTTATTCTGAGAGAAGGAAAATTCCACTGATTACTGTACATCTTGCTAAGTGATAGGCATGAATGTTTGTACAGTCAGTAATCCATGTAAAATCTTTCATTCACATTGAAATTTTTACTGTTCTTACCTATCAAAAAGTCCCTTACTTTGCCGGCACTCTCTGTACAATTTACAATGCTTCGCCTGTAGAGATGTATTAATTCACTACAGCACATAAGCACATGCTTAAATATAGATTCCATTGATCCTTTTGTCATCTCCGCAGGTAAATTAGTTTTATCTTCAAGTTAAAAAAAAATAAAAAATTAAGCTGTTGGAGCAGACTCTTAGCTGTTTTGAACAGTGGGATATTGTTGGTGAAAAGTTGCCCTAACACTAGCCCAATAGTTTTTGCGTGATCTACGTAGGGTAGTCTTATGATGTAAAAAAATCACCTCTGAGGTTTCTTTTCAACTCCTGCTTCCATCTGTGCCAGCACAAGAAGCACATGGCTGGAAAAATGTAGCATCATGAGGCAACCTTATGATCCAGACACTTGAAGTCTGGGAAACTGGAACCAATTTACAGAAGCTCTTGTGATATCCACCAACGGGTCTGCCCAGAATCTCTACAGTATTGTAGTAATTAGGGTAGTGATTAGTCTGGAGTTGCCATGTAGTCTCGCTTTCAGCTGGAAACATTAGGAGAAACAAACCCCATCTTATTCTCTGTTTAGAGTTGCAGGGCTCTATCTTGCTGAGGACATCTGTCCTGTTTCTCTTTCCCCATTGACTTTTACTAACGGAAAAAAAAAATCCCTAATTATGTCACCCTCCTCTATCAAAATATTAATTTGCAAGGTAGAGTAGAAATATTTTTATGAATTGTAAACTGGGCTACATCGTTTTAATCAGTAGACGAAGAATGTGCAACATCTTGCTGGATTGGGAGTTTGTGTGAGATGGAGACAGGGAAGGGTGATTGGGATATCACTGGTTGTTGTTTTGAAGCATTGTACAGTGGAAAGTATTTTACTTACAGTTTCATATAGATGTACACTTTTTCTATATCTTCTTACCAAAATTTTTTTCAAGTGACTGATTTTGCTGGGTTTTATCACATGCAAAACCACCCAGCTCAGGGTCTCCCTTGTCTCCAGCCACTTGGTATTCTGCTGAGAGTGGATGGTCATCAGTATTATGTGTGAGTCTTAATTCATGTGTTTCTGTTTGAAATCTGTATTGCTTTGTGGTCTCTGCAGCAGATGCCCTTGTCTTTATGGTCTGCTGTAGGCTACTCAATGTATTTTTAAAGCAGGCAACCTTAAAACTATTTCAAGCATTGCCAATACATTTTTGCTGTTCTACTAGCTTTGCATAGCTGTCATTTTACTGGGAGTATTCATATTAAATTGATGCAGAAAAACATCTGCTGTTATAGATGAGAATTTGATGACCCAAATAAAAGTTCTTCTTTTCATCCAGCTTGAAAGCTCCTGAAAGTTTTATCAGTTCTAGTGGAAGTCCCGAATTGTTCACTTGGATCCTTTGGGTTTGGGGGTTTTTTTTATGCTTTTTAACTCAGTGATTCTCTGTAGTACTCTAGTACACTGCTACCTGCAGAACCGCTGAACTGCATCTACTAGTTGTACTAGTTAGCTACAACTACTACCTGCAGAGCTGTTGCACATTTAGAGTGCTATCTATTCAAGGTTTGCTGATACACATGCTTACAGTGGCTGGCAAGTAGTTTTGAGGGGTGGCTCTGATCCACTGATTCACTTGCAGAACGCTACCCTAGATGAAACCTTCATCTGATTTCTAATCTCTATGCTTGTGCTGAGACCTAGTTAGCAGTTAAGCTATTTTACATCAAGGTTCAATAATCACTGAATACCCCATTGGCAGTGCGAGCATGCTGTAGAGCCACACTGTGCCAGGGGGATGCTGCAGCCCACATCCAGCCCTTTGCTGCCTTTGCAGCAGCTTATTTCTAGGAGTTTTGAGAGAGAGAGAGAGAACCGCTGGACACAGTAAGCACTCCTGTTCCTCTTGGTATGAGGATCAACTGAAAGTTTTACCTAAAGACACGTATCCAAAGGAGACTGATTTTTCAGTTTGGTAGTTTTGTAGTCAATCCAGTCACCAAAAGTGGAGTTGATTGGCTTGTCTCATTGATTTCTAACCTGCCTATCATTATACTCTCTGAGAAAGATGAATAAATCCCATTGCAGATTACTTAGAGGGCTGAGGACTAAGAGAAAAAAAGAGGCATACAATGCCTAGCTGTGGAAACATTCATAGAATCATAGACTGATTTGGGTTGGAAGGATCCTTAAAGATCACCTAGTTCCAAACCCCCTGCCATGGGCAGGGACACCTTCCACTTGACCAGGTTGCTCAAAGCCCCATTCAACCTGGCCTTGAATGCTTCCAGGAATCAGGCATCCACAACTTCTCTGGGCAACCTGTTCCAGTGCCTCACCACCCTAATAGTGAAGAATTTCTTCCTTATATCTAATCTAATTCTACCACCTTTCGGTTTAAAGCCGTTACCCCTTGAAGGCTGCTATAAAGTCTCCCCAGAGCCTTCTCTGCTCCAGGCTGAGCAACCCCAACTCTCTCAGCCTGCCTTCATAAAAAAGGTGCTCCAGCCCTCGGATCATCTTTGTGGCACTCCTCTGGACTCTGTTCAACAGGTCCATGTCCTCCTTATGCTGGGAGGCACAGAGCTGAATGCAGTACAAGTGGGGTCTCACCAGAGCAGAGTAGAGGAGGAGAATCACCTCCCTCGACCTGACAGCCATGCTGCTTTTGATGAACACCAGGATATGGTTGGCCTCCTGGGCTCCAAGCACACATTGTCAGCTCACATACAGCTTTTCATCGACCGGTACCAGCAGTCCTTCTCTGCAGGGCTGCTCTCAATCCTTTCGTCCCCCAGCCTGAATTTGTGGTTGGGATTCCCCTGAGCCAGGTGCAGGACCTTGCACTTGGGCCCATGTCACATGAGCCCCCCTCTCAAGCCTGTTAAGGTCCCTCTGGATGACATGCCTTCCCTCCAGCATGTTGACCGCGCCACACAGCTTGATGTCGTTGGCAAACTTGCTGAGGGTGCACTCAATCGCACTGTCCATGTCACCAACAAAGTACCAGTCCCAACACCAACACCTGAGTGTTTTATTATTATTACAATTATGTTATAAAAATTATCTTGAGGAACATGCATCTTGCTTCTGATATGTACAAAGCATAATTCCCATGAGAAATACCAGAAAGATGAAATAACACAAAACCATTTTAAATTGCTCATAAAAGTCCCTGAAAATGACAAGTTGACAACTCAAAATAATTTTAAGATCGTTCCTGCCAACTCTCATTTCTCTCCTGCTTCTTCATTTGAAGACAGCTTCTCGCCCACAAATGTCTTCAAAAGGTTGTTGGCAGATTGAGCATCCCAGAGCACAAAAGTTTTGTCTTTACCTTCACTTTGTCTCAGCACAAAATAGCTGCCTTTCACCTCCGGTTTAAGAGTAAAAAGGTTTAAAGACTAGTTCAGTAATCCATGCACATGCAAATCTGCCTCCGAAACACAAGCAGAAACACAAAATAATGGTTTAGTGCTCTTGTTGCAGTGTGACAAAGAGCTGAAGGATATAAGGGTTTGAAATTAGCATCCCCAAATTAAACTGTGGGTGTTCCTCATCATGAGGTGCCTGTAGGAGAAGTAACTGATATGTATATTCATATCCATGTATATGAGAGACTAAACCATCCCTGTGTGCTTCTGACAATCTCCTGCTAGACAGATGAGTAGATTTTCACAAGCCATGTGTCAAAAGAAAACCTGTGGCATGGAGGCCATCTGTATTTATGGACAAAAATCCAAAAATCTTTCTAGTTTGGTGTTATACTAAAATATAACTCTAGTTTGAGTGGTACTAAAAGTTCCATTCACAACCAGTGAGAACACGAGATATTGACAAATATGCTACTTTTTTGCCCTGGGGGCCCTTCCAGACAAATACTCTTTACTGCTCTCTTAGTCAGTGAAATTATTTACCTGCGTATTAACTTAATTCCAGTTATTTACCCCAAAGATGTGCATAGGATCTTCCACATCACCTATAACATCTCTCATAAATTCTTGTACTTAGGTACTTGGGAAAAACCACTGATTATATTCTAGACTCACCACAGAGAGAGAAAATCGAATGGGGTTTACACATTTTTTGCAATTTACGAAATAAAGAGTCATTCTCAGAAGTGCATATGCATATTTCTTATTATTTCAATGGAAGGATTTAGGTTTCTAAGTACTTCAGTAACCTTTGAGAGCATGACTTAGCTGGTCAAGTCACTTTGCAGCATTGGGAAGCACTGTTCCTACTGATTCTAATCAGTGATTATTGCAAACTGTCTTTGCGATTTCAGATGTGGTGGTACAGTGGTGTACACAAGGGGACCTACTTGCAGTAGCAGGCATGGAGAAGCAAAGCCAGCTAGTTGACCTCGGCAATGGTTCCCTGTTGAAAAGCGCACTTGTCAAGTTCTACAATGTGCGCGGGGAACACATCTACACTCTGGAGACACCTGTGCAGGTAGGAGGTATTTTTAAAGTCAGTTTTCAATGCTTTGCTGACGTGCTTTTCCCACATCAGCTCTTTGGTATAGACCTGCAATGTGAAAAGGTTTACAGAACGTTCTGAACACATTCTAAAAACCAGTATAGATAAAAATGCACTATAAATAATTATAGTGTGCATTAAGGTAGACATCCAAGAGTCCATCAGTTTCTAAGGCCCACTGTGCTAGGTATTGTGGAAATATATAGTGGGAGACAGTCTGTTGCCCAAAACCACTGAGCCACAAATGGACAAGATGTTGTTTTATGGAAAAGTGACTGAGAATTAAAAACTAGATAACTTGCTTGGTGTTGTAGCAAAGCCAAGAACTGGACAAAAATATTCCAAGTCCACTGTCATAACCACACGATTATTCTCTCTTTGTTATTCCTGTAATTCTCTAATGCACAGTCAGTGAACCTGATGCAATATTTTACTTTTTATGGCATCAGATGGAAAAGGATGAATCAGAAAGTCTAGTTTCTGTTCCCACCTTCTGTACAGATTTTCACTGTAACCTCGGTCGTGTTACTTGACAAGTAAATGTCAACACATGGTCTGTGTGCTGCTTAGGAGCACAACATGCTTCAGAGGTCTTCACTGGTATTTCAGAACCCAGCTGAATGTCACTCTACATTTTATTTCATTTTCTGTAGGATAGGGATGGCTCCATTCTGATTTCTGACTGCACTAGTGATACAATTCGTAATAGCTTTGAAATCTAAAAGTGAAGGAAAATGCTATAGATATATTTACTTAATTATGTTTAATGATGATGCCATTTATTATCATTTCTTTTTCAGTACCCTGATCTGGGATGGATACGAAAGGATGACGTAGTAAACCAGCCGCTAAGCTTTTGTGTTTGCTTATGTTTAGCATTAACCTGTGCTTATTAACGTTAGCACTCTAATTTAGATAGAATTCTTTAGTTTTGTAATGTATAAAATAATGTTCCCTAAAGCCAATCTAAATATGTGCAGCGACGTCTAATGCTGATTTAGGTATCTAAAGGACTTACCCATACACACAGCTTTATTGTCTTAAACATAGCCCTTTCAGCTAAGTAGCACAGCCCTTTCCTCTTTGGGTCGATTCTGGAGAAAGCATGTTTATACTGGTGTTGCTTACTCTCAGACCAGGTAAAAACCAAACCTCATTCTGTTACTTCAGTACCAGAATACTGTGTGTCCATGGTAGCTGTTGAACCAGTGTACCGCTCTGGTGCCAGGTCGTGAAATCAAGCTGTGGTTCGAGCAGTGGAGCTGATGGGGTCAGGTTGCCTCACTGTGCACGTGTGTGCAGGCTCATCTCTTACTGCTCTCTCCCCAGCTTTGTTCCCAATTACCTCAAACGCCTTCATTTCCTCTAGTTCTCCCTATATCCCATCAACTTATTTTCGTATTTTCAGCTCTTCTTTCTCCTCTATTTAATTAGCTGGGAGAAAGCACGTGTTGTGGTTGATGTGAGGGCTGATTATTCTGCCATTGTGTGAGTACTTATAGGACAACTGACAGGTCATACAGAACAGGTAACTGCCAAGTTCATACTGCTGTATTTCTCATAGTGAAAATATTAACATGAGACTCTCTGCTCTTTCTGGCTGCTAATTTTTGCTGAAATTGCAGCATTTTAACATCATGGAGATTGCTTCCCCCTTTGTCAACTTCAGATGAAAAGCCAATGGCTTCAGAAGTTGTAAGTCAGGTTGGAAGTGAAGGATGGGGGGTGGTAACCACCAATTAATAACGCAGTCATGGAGTCTCATTTGATTAGAAAACCAGGGTAAAAATAACATTCAAACTGATGTATTTATGTCTATTAAAAAACCGTATGCATAAACCTGCCTAAAATTAGAGCTACTCCTCTTCTCTCAGTAGTTAGTGTTTATTCTCTTTATTTAGTGCATTTAAATTCCTATTTACTCAGCTGCAGGAGGAAGTGAGGGGGTCTTTCAGAAGGACACCTGTAGCTGCTCATGTGGACTTTATGCTTCTATGTATTTAAATGCTGGTGTAACAGTATTACCAGCTAAGTGACAGGTATGCTAGAACATTGCTAAGTATTTGGTTTACTAACAAAACCAGATAAAAAATGCTGTTGCAAAAAAAAAGTTGCTAGTAACTTTTGTTAATTTGTGTCTCTGCTTCAAAGATGTATATGCAAAGATGACAGAGTGAGTCAGTGGTCCCAGTAATTTGGCTGATGATAAATTCATCAGAGTAAATGAATGTGTTTTCTGTACCATGACAGTCGGCCCTGTAATGGGATTTTATTAAATTCGTCACTGGTTATTGAAGAAAAGAAAAGAATTTCCTCATCTTGAACTCTTCTGCTAAAACTTTATTCTGAAGCAAGCAAATGTCTGACTGGAAAAGCACATTTATTCTAAATGAGTATTGTTCTGAATGCAAAGGTCAAAAAATTAAAGCAACAACAAACACAGAAAATAGTGGATTACAGGTGCAAAACTGATTTTCCACATGGTCCTCTATCCCACTTCTTTGATGAAGCAGACATCTGAAAATTTTATCAGTAAAATGTACTGAACTGTTTTTGTTTCTGTGGTTTGTCTGTCATGTATTTGGTAGGATATTCAGGAAACAAGAGGTTTTATCATTTATAACAAAACTCAGTCTAAAAGTGATGTAGGATTTATTCGCAGCTTGGCTGGAATGTTACCTAACATAAAGTCACTGCAAACGCCAAGGTAGAATAGATTTGGGTACTGCAGGTTACTCATCTTGATGATGACTGTTGTCATGGATCTCTTCAAGGTGTTTTATATGCCACCTTCTCCTCCAGCTTTATATGGGTTTGGCATCCTCTGTCTCATTTGATTAACTCACTTAAGCTCTTACTTTGGTGTAGGGTTTTATGGTTCATAAACCTAGTTTGTTGACTATAAAACCCTAGACAGGGAAATCACACTTGTTTAGAAGTATCCAAATGAATGCAGCAGCTTTGCATGAAAAATAACACTCATAAACAGAGTGGTAGAGTTAGGGTAGTGTAATAGTCTCTCTTCTTTCCTGCTCTGGGGCTTCGGCCTGCCACCCTTACATGCTGCAAGAATATATTTGCAGAATGTAGTGGAAAGAGCTGAAAAAGCATCAGTAAGGGTTGTGCAAATGTTGAACTTCTGCTACACGGAATCAAACTGTTTTGAACCTTGAAAGAATGAAAAAAATTCAGAAGGGACTTCAGAAAGTCACACCAGACCTTTATCTTATTGGATTGCGCTTGCCCTTGGGTACACAAACATCAACCTGATGAACCAAAAATATGCCCAGTTCTTACAGCTGGCAGCTTTTTCATGATCTTGCTTTTTCAACATTTAAGAATGTGATTACAACAGTGGGCTGCCCTGGTGCTCATATTTTTTTAGTGGAAGAATGTTAATTTCTTACATTATTTGTTAAATCCTCATAACCCTTCCCTGGCATCAAGCAGGCATGAGAATAATCAACTCATTCAAGGCTGTTTTACAGTCTTGCTAAAATTGTTTGCCGGAAATGCTGCAACCCAGTTCTGTCATTTCAAAATTTCTCATCTGATGTGCAGACAGGTCTTTATTATATCAACTAACCATACTTGCTGTCATGAAGCTCTCTCCTGAGTGTATACAGCTGCTTCATATCTTCCCATTTGAACTTTAAACAGAGCCGTTGCCTGCAGGATCACTTCAAAATTACCTAACTGCCGACTTTACCAAATCTGTGAAATTATTCTGTCTGATGATTCAAAGTTGTGGCTTATATTTTGGTTCCTTCTTCACTTTTTATAATTTTCTTTCCTATATGTCCGAGAGAGGACCAGGGGAACAAGAACATGGATTTAGAAACCATGATGCTGATCTCTTTTATACACCTGTAATCCTGTAGTGAATTTACATTATCTTATGATTTTATAATACTGTGTAACTGGTGTAAGAACAGATTAAACCTCAAGTGCAATGATGAAGAGGAGTGAACTGGGGCCCTGTGTGTTCCAGAATCAGCTGTACAGGCAACAAGATTAGGTGCAGAAAAACTGCGATCACATTTTTATCAGTGTAATATTTTTAAACCCTAATTCAAGTGATGTACCAAAGGCTAAATCTTTGTGGGAGAGGTTTACAGGAATCTTTGAGAAGATCCACTTGCTCTAAACCTGCTGCTGTCAGCAGCAGCCTTCACAGCATTTCATGGGCTGCTTTTCTACTGGAAACATCCCGGCACCCGAATGAATAGATTTAAGATTATATGATCCTGCAGAAACCTGGTAGTTGTGTAAAAGCTATTTTACTAACACCTGAGAAGGAAGGTGCCATTTTAGGTTAAATTCAGCTCAAAATGCTTTAAGAGGCTGCCTTTTATGTTACCCAGCTGAGCTGACCTTGCTCACTTTGTCTTCATTTATTTCACACAGTGCATTCAGGTTTGTTGCTTCTGAATTAACGTTGCCTTTCATATATATCACCTGAAATTAATCCTATTTAGTTGTTATTGGATTACAACAAAGCTTCAAGAAGAGTTTATTTTCTTACAGAAAGAGAAACGAGAGCAACAATTTAGAACTAGCTGGTGAAACATTCTTTGGGATATCAATAAGGACCTTGATGTTTTCCATATAGGCCATAAGATCATCTCTGACTGCTGCAGAAATGGGTCATGATCAGGACTGGAAAATGAAGACACTTGTCTAAGCAAAGACTCATTCTGCTAAAATGAGATTTCATCGCTGTATTGAAATCTAAAAAAAAAAAAAAAATTATTACTGTAGAAACAGGGTATAAGGAACATCTGCAAATCAAATAAGAGTTTGATGCATGAAAAATCATACAAGGCCACAGCAAGGCAATTTCTGACCACGTCATAGACTTTATTGCTTTTATCACCATCAATTCTTACTAGTTAATATTATTCCCACTGCAAATATGGGGAACAGAAGAGCAAAGAAGTTGCGTTACTTTCCAGCAGCCATTTATGAATGCTGTGGCCATACAGAGATGTGCACATACAATTCGCAAGAGCTGAGTGGGCACTGCAGCAGCCATTGCACCATCCAGCTTCTCTCTGAAAAAAGCGGAGGGAAAAATGCGTATCCCCGCATCAGCAGTCTAAAGAGAAAGAAAGCAGATGATGTACGTCAGAGTTTTACTTTCACATAGTAAAGTAGATACTCACTAGATACTGTTTTGCAGTCAGGTTCTTTCTCCTGAGAAAAATCCCTTTTGTTGCTGGGCTTTCTGCCCTGGAATATCATTTTTATTTCATTACCAGCGGGACTCCCAGTGCCAGCCAGGCAAGCCCCATGGCTCAAGATTTCTGAGCTCAGGGCAGGCAGCAACAATCAGCTTGAACAGCGTTTCATTGACTGAACTGCATACAAGTGATGAAGGGTATATAAATTATGTTCTCTCCTGTAAGAGAGACAGGTGAGTGACTTACAAGAAGCAAGCACAGAGCTTGAGCTAGAATATCCATTCCCATGGGCTTTTCTAAGGGAAGTTGACATCCCAGCTGGGAGTACAGATTTTAGTAGATGTAGCTGACTTTCAAGCCCACTCTGAAAAAAATGGCAAAAGAGCTCCTTGTTGGCCGCTTTTTAAGATGTGTTTTCAGTCAATATTTCTCATGATAAAACATCTCATTTTTCTGTCCTTTAGCCAATTATTTCTAATATATAATTGTCATAGAGCTGGATCCTATCCATGTGTAGAAGTTCAAGTGTTTTTCCAGAATTTTTTTTTTCCTACATGTTTGTATTTAAACCCTGGAATTCATTCAGGTATTTACAGTTTGTGCTGAGATTTTTCAAAATGTGATGGGATTTTTAAATACAAAGTGAGATTAGAAATTTTCATTAGACATCATATTTGTAGCTGCATTTCCGTGTTCCTAGCAGAAAAAAACAAGTGTGCAAACATGGAAAATAAAATTCTTCTGTGCTAGAATCTGCTTGTTCATTTTCTAACAGGTGCAATATGGGTATCAACAACTCTTTTCCTTCCTTTTTTTGCTATTTTTTATGCATTATGAGGAGCAATACTTCTGCGTTGGACGTCAGAGTTCAATTATTTTTTCTCAGCAGAGTTTGGAAGGAAAGCTGTGACCAGCTCATAACTGACTCGCTGCAGTAATTGATTCATATCCCTTGTCTTTCA